GGGATGTGGGTTATGTGTGTGGGTTCCTTACAGCTTCTATCTGGACCCTGCATCTTCCTAGGTAAGACTCCCAGATGACCATGCACCATGAGAATATGCCACTGTTTCCTTTCTAGTTGGGGAGGAAACAAGGAGGACCTTCCCAGAGGGCGAGAGGCCTGTCCCAAGTACGAGTGACAGAGCTGTGGAGATGGCCCATCCTTAGCTGTCAGGACTCAATGTGGTCACGGGGGGGCCCAGATGTGAAACTCAGACACTCATCACCTCAGCAGGTCTGATTCGAAAGCCGCGCCAGCCAACTCCAGCTCTGGGAAAGGCAGCTCCACCCCTGTTCTATGCTCCCGGGAGTGCGGTGGGGGGAACCGAGGTCCCTGCCTGGGAGGCTGGTTGGCTTCCACCGCTCCCAGGGAGCTGGCTTTCCAGCCCAGCGTCGCACTGGCTCAGGCCTGGACAGCTGCTGCCGGTGTGCTGCCCTCACCTCTGGTTCAATGTTTTTTCCATTTGATTCATTTACTCTCATGTCACTTTTCATTTTAATTTGTTGTGTTTATGTATTTAGAAAAGTTGCCTTAAGAAACATTTTGGAAGAAAGGCTGAAAAAATAAGGCCATCATTGTCACTGACATCTCATAAACTGTTAACCCTGAAAAACAAATATATATATATATTTTTTTCCTTGGTTCTGTACTTTTAAAAGCCCCAAACTGTTTTTTAGAAAACACTGATTTTTTTAAAACTGAAATTTGTTTAGCTTTGGCTGTTTCTTATGCCAAGTCTCAAAGAATAATTCACATCTCTAATCATCTATTTTTGAGGCCTTGAGTAGGCAGGGAGTTAATTCCTAACACAACAAATCTCACCAGGGCTTGGGAGTCTCTCTAGATGAGAAGGCAGAGACAAGAGTAGAAGTAGCTGCCCAGAGGGCCCGGCCGGGAGCTCCGTGGCACCTGGACCCCTCAGACCAGCCCTGTTGGTCCCTGCACAAGCCCCTCCACACAGTGCCCCAAGCCGGGGAGTTGCCAGACGAGTGCCCTCCACATGCCAAGCCAATCTCCGTATGAAATAGGACCATGGAAGGCACCAACTTCCATGTGAGGGCAGCTCCCGGCTATCTAATTCAAACACTTCAAGGCCGGCTCCACAGACAGGCCAGATGCTGCCACCTTCCACTCACCATGATGACGGAGACCCCGGTGGTAGTGCTGTTCTGTTTGGGGAGCGCATTATTAAAGTGCTGTTTTAGTTTACCTGTTACCTCAGCTTGCATGTTATTCTCCTGGGAGGCATCATCCTACAGGAAAGAAAAGAATCAAATACAATGCTTTTTCCATCCTCCCGTTTCAGTTGTCTTTTCCTTAAGAGTCTCCCTCCCAGCCCCACCCTCCTGACCTCTTCCTAAATGGGCCCCTCTTAGCCACAGAATTAGGGAAACAATGATCTTTCAAAAATAACTATTGTTATTCAGCAGTCCCAGGCCCTCAGAAAGACCCCACACCATTCCCTTTGCCCCTCAGTACTAGAGTAGGCCCAGGAGAGGGCACAGGTCTCCCGGGACACAAAGCAGGGCACCCTTCAGGCTACTGAGACCCGCAACCAACGCACACGATTTAGTATGATCCCTCCCATGGAAGCATCAAAGTTAATTGTTTTTCACTTTAATCAAGAATTCATTTAGTTGTTAGTCTTTATTGCTTATAATAAACAAAAAAAAAAATGTGGCATCTTAGCTACTTGGTCCAAGAGCCACATCATTTAGCCCAAGAGAGCAGCGAGCAGGGTCCAGAGAGACTGCACCCGGATGGCGAGTGGGTGGGGCAGTGGAGGTGCACAGGGAGCTCCTGAACCCGAGTCAACAAAGCCCTGGGCTAACTAAACTAACTTCACTCTCCTGGAGTCTCCCAGCAATGAGGGAAATGGATGGGAGAAATGTAATTCCCACAGTCCCCATTTATTGGATTGTGTTTCCCTCCCAGAGACCACCTGAGCCTCTGGGAGGGAACTCTAGTCAATATCACGTGTCTCCACCCAGCTCTGAAGGGACCATGTCTCAGCCTCCCCATCAACAGCAGGAGGTCTCCTGAAAGCACGTGCCCTGAAGGCAGAGAGACCAGAGTCTGAAACTGGCTCATCTCCAGGGCAAACCCTGGAAACTCTCAAACCCTGGAACCACAGAAGAGAGAGAAAAGCCTCCTAAAAGAGCACTGTGGCCAATTCCATTTTGCAGATAAGGAAACTGGGGCCAAGAAAGGGACAGTGACTTGCCCAGGTGACTCGCGGGGCAGGGTCTCAGACTGGGACCCTGGTGCCAACTGCTTTCTTGGGGAGCCATCTTCATGCTACTTGCTCAATGGGAAAGACAGACATTCTATCTACCATGGAGCTTGGATGCATAACGTTTGCATGTGTAAACATCACAGTGAGGAACCGTGCTGTTGGCCACAGAGCACAGTGATGCCCATTCCCTGGGAATGTGGGTACTTACTGACACCCAGGGGTGACTCAGGATTTGTCCCGCGGTACACCGAGCTTCAACATTTACCTGAAGCATTTGACTGATTAATTCCTACAAATAAATAAACAAGTAAGACCACAGAGAAGGAGATAATTCAGTATCACGAAAGAAGATAATTCCAGCATAAATATAGAAATCTGAGTTTGTAGCAAGCACTTCAGAGAAGAGCCAGCACAGCTGTTAGCTGATTCAAACTTAAACGTGATTACACCTACTCTCCTAGCGCCTTATAAGCTGTGCAAAAGAAGAGATGGTCTCTCCTGGGTCCACATGAAACTAAGATGTTCCCACCTAAGAGTTCTGGTCATAGTTATTATTCCACAGTCTAAAACTGCAGTATTTCTCCTTTTGGCAATTCAGTGTGTTCTGCAGTTCATCCCTGTATCCCGATGGGTGCCCAATACATATTTCTCGAGTAAATGAAATAATGGATGTTGAGAGCTTAGAGGAGCACAAGAGGACGGAGGGAAACCGGAAAGACGGCCAGTCCAACTTTAAGAATTTTGCCAAGAACTTCAGAGACCATACCATAGGATGAACTTAAAAGAACAACCACACAATAAAAGCCAAAGAGCTTTCTGCAATGCAATACCAAAGTAGCTACAGCCCTGTGGAATGGGTGAGGACCCCACAACGTAATACAACCCACAGAAACAGGCCTGGAGGGTACCTTGGCAGAGTCCGTGATGTTATCCCAGTAGGGGGCCGGAAACTCCAGCTTCCCAGCCAAGATCTGGTCGAAGAGATCTTCCTGGAGATTGTTCTCGCTAAGCCAGTGACAAAGAAATGGAAGAAAAGTCAAAGTCACCGTAGAGTTTTTCAACAAAACGCCCACGGGAAGAGTGGGGAAAGGAGTCCAGTCTCTGGCTTTGACTTGGGCATTCCATATCTCAATTATGTATCTCAATTCCATTTGTAATGACAGAACTTTTCCTTTTAGACAATGAGCCAAAGAACATTTCCATAGGCTGAGGAATTAAAGAGACAGAGACAACGACTCAAACATTTGCTTAATGAACGCAGAGTTTCAGTTTGGGAAGATGGAAACGTTCGGGAAAGGGACGGTGGTGATTCTTGCACACAATGTGAATGTATTTAGTGGTACTGAACTGTACACTTAAAAATGGTGAGAATGATTGATTTTGTTATATATATTTACCACACACACAAACACACACTCAAGAAAATATTGGAATCCACAAATAATGGAAATCCTCATTTCAGGAAAAAAAAAAAAAAAATCAGCATCTGCCCTCAAAACTATCATGGCAACAAGAAAGGAAAGGCAGAAAATCTGAGTCCGATCTCCTTTCCCTTCTTCTTTCCACTTTAATAGCCAAAGGTCAGTGGAACAGCCAACATATGAAAAAGTTATAAGGAGTTCAGGATCTGGATAAAACATTCATGAAATAATCAGTTCGCTGTTGGAAACTGACTTTAAGCTCAGTCTGAGAGGAAGGGCCAACCCAAGACACCAGGCAGAATGGCACAGGCTGAGGCAAACCCATGCCAGTGGCTCACAGGGGCATCCCTCCCACCTGCGCCTGACCGTCCCACCCTCGGAGGCGCACTCACACAGTCAGTGCCTGATGAATACAGGCTGACCTGACTTCTCCTGAATGTCATGAAAATGTGGAAACACCACTGGGAAAGATGTCCCTAACCTCCCAAATAACTTAACCTCCAGAGCCCCCTCACTTGGTGGGTGCATCGATGGCTAGAGTGAGGAACAGCATCATTAGCTTTCCAGGCCATTACAAGGCCCCATGAGAAAGCTCAGAATGGCCTGTTGGAGTCAACATCAAAATCCAGAAGTGCAAGTTAAGTATTACCCGGCAAGTGTGCAAACATTTCTTGGAATTTCTTCACCCAGCCTTTGGGGTTTTGCTACCAACCCCATCAAAGGGGAACAAGGGCAAGCGTGGTGTCCTGAGAAACAGACCATTCAGCACAGTGTCTAGACACAAATTCTAGGGCTGTTGTGATGACACGGTTCCCTCCTTCCTGTTCTATTACAAAGAGTAGAGTTGGCTGGGTGTGGTGGCTCATGCCTGTAATCCCAACACTCTGGGAGGCCGAGGTGGGTGGATTACCTGAGTTCAGGAGTTTGAGACCAGCCTGACCAACATGGTGAAACCCTGTCTCTACTAAAAATTAAAAAAAAAAACAAAAATCAGCCAAGCATGGTGGTACACACCTGTAATCCCAGCTACTCCGGAGGCTGGGGCAGGAGAATCCCTTGAACCTAGGGGGCGGAGGCTGCAGTGAGCTGAGATCGCACCACTGCACTCCAGCCTGGGTGACAGAGCAAGACTCTGTCTCAAACAGAACAAAACAAACAAACAAACAAAAAAACAACAAACAAACAAAAAAGAGTCAAGTTTCTGAGCTTTGTAAATATTCATGACATTTAAGAGCAAGCCCAGCTGAATGGACACCCATTGGTCCATGGAGTTTGGTGAAGAGGCACACTGAGGAGCAAAAGTCAGGACAGATAACTGGGCCAGGCAAGAGAAAGAGATTCCCACCACTGTCCCAAAGAGCGATTTCCTATGAATGCCCACAAGTTTCTTAGTGTCAGCATGTTTTCTTTCCTTTTCACTGTTATTTCCCTGCTGAGTGAGCTCAGCTTACTGCTCCTTCAAAGTGAGTACAGAATACATCTAAGATTATTAGATTTAGTGGAAAACTTCAGAAAACCAGAGGGCTCCAACATATGATGTTAGAAAAAGATATTAAAAATGAGCTATTTCCACAATCGTTCTTTTTAGTCATCCTTACCTATTATTCCACTCACCTCTCCCTTATTTTTTTCTAGAATCTCAAATATCTTATATTTTGTTAATCCATATAGCTTTTGTTAATAAATAGCTAAAAAGCTGGAAGTGTGTGCGCAGCAGTCATTTATAGCAGCTGGTTCTTGGCAAAATACCCTGAGTCAACAAACAAAACCATAGGGTGTCTCAGCAATGAGAATGAGACCCCGAAGTATCCACTGTGAGTTGCAAGAGCTTTGACAGTTGGGGCCTGCCCTGCACTAGAAAAACAGAAAGTTAATTTATCTTTCTTAGCAGTCATGTAAGAAAAACTGTTCTGATTAAATCCACACTGGATTTGGTATCACACTGATACTCCGCAATGTGGCTGAGATCCTTCAGGGCACTTTTAAATTCTAAAACAATATAGCCTTTGGACCAAGGTGCTGTTAAGTCTAAAAATGTCCATTAAGAAAAACTTGAAAAACAACAAAAGAGTTTGTGCACACGCTCTCTTTTCAACGACAAAGCATTAAAATTCAGAAAAGGTAAACCTGAAAATGTTGTAAGCTATTTCCCAAATGATGTTCAAACGTTCCACTCAGAGCATTTTGCGCGTGTTTTAAGAGAAACAAAAACTTCAGTATAGTCATACAAATGATACTTTTTGTCAGTGACCCTAAGAGCAGACTTGCTTAGGCAACAACTAAAATTTTGGGTGCCTCTGAAAAACCAATCTCCTTCTCGGTAATGATGAATCTGATGTTGAAAAAGACTAGAGGGAGATGGTCCAGGCGCAGTGGCTCACACCTATAATCTCAACACTTTGACAGGCTGTGGTGGGAGGACTGCCTGAGGCTAGGAGTTCAAGACTAGCCTGGGCAACACTGCAATGTGGTCTCAGCTACACAGGAGGCTGAGGGAGGAGGACTGCTTGAGCCAGGAGTTGGAGACTGCAGTGAGCTATGATCATACTACACTCCAGCTTGGTCAACAGAGAACTTGTCTTTTAAAAAATAAATTAAAAAGGTTAAAAAATAAAATTCACAGACTGGGCAACAAAGTGAGACCCTATCTCTACAAAAAAAAAAAAAAAAGCTGGGCATGGTGGTGTGTGCTTGTAGTGCCAGCTACTTGGGAGGCTGAGGTGGGAGGATTCCTTGAGCCTGGAGTAGGCTGTGATCACACCACTGCACTCCAGCCTGGGTGACAGAGCAAGATCCTGTCTATAAAAAAGAAAAGAAAAAAAAAAAAGACTAGAGAAAGAACGAAAGATGCTACAGTCAGAGAAGCTAAAACTGTAAATTCCAAATAACAATTTTAGTTTAAATGCTTTGGGTTAAAGTTGTCTTTTGTATAAAACAAAGAGATTATTTTGAAATATTTGAAAGACTTTTAAGTACAAATGTAGACAATCTATTTTATACCAAATTTATTTACCATATACCATTTCGGTAATTTATGACATACATTTCTGTATTATGGTAGGTTATAAAATCTACCCAGAATGTTGCTGTATGCCATGAAGACACTTTAGTAACACGTTTTTAACATTACAGATTCTCTTTCATCACAATATGATATAAAAGAGGGAAAGCATTGTCTTAATTTTTAAAAGCTACCTGGAGGTCTATGGCCTGCTTCTGAAGGCAGCACATAAGGGCAGCAGCCTTCAGAACGTAGCTTTACTGCTTTTGATTAACCAAACTTATCTCTAGACCCCACAAAAAAGCTGCTTCCCATTCAGTATCAATCCATGATAAATACATCCTGTTCAATTTGAGTCTCACTTTTGTTAAAAAGTAAAAAGCAGTGAAAAGAAAAAATTCTCAGGCTGCACCAGCAACTGGAAACACTAGAGGGAGTTGTGAGCACACAGTCCTCAAACTCATCCCCCAAGACCCTTTCCCAGCTGATCCCAGCTTGGGTTAGCCAGGGAAGGGAACTCCGCTGTAATTGGTCCAGGATCACCTGTCATCAAGATGCATTCCCCTTCTTCACTTGACCAACTCCCGAAACATGACATCACTGAGACCAGCCAAGGCCTGGTGTGACTGTAAAAATGGCCACGAATTATTCCCTTCCCACTATGTACTTAGCTCATTTTCTCCCACATTTACTCTGGGTTTGACTTGATTTGCTTAATGGCACACCAAGTGTGAGGTGAGCAGAGACTGAGGAAGTGCTCGGGGAGTAGAACTTGCCCTGTTTCTGGCTGCTGGGGAATCCTGCATCCACTCTCATGGAAGCCCAGGACAGTGCTTGCATGATGAAAGCACAGGGCCAAGTCATCTCTCTTGTCCCAGTGGACACTGAGCCACCTACCAGGCATGCAAGTGGGGCCATCCTAGACCATCAAGCCCCCACTGAGCCAGCCAGCTCAGAAGATTCACTCAACTGATCCATGCAATTGTTTCATACTCCTAACTTCAGGGGTAGTTTGTTACTCAGCAAAAGCTAACTGAAATGTGCAGTAATTCTACAGTCTGTGTAACCCATCTAGTCAACGACTTTGGTGGAAGACCATGATGTTGACGGCCAGATGAAAATATCTTTCCACCTATAAAAACTCCACTAATACCACAAAGGTCTCACTCAAATGCTACATCTTTCATTAATGCTACATCCTTGTGATATCCCTGAACTAAGCACTCCCTCATGCTCTGCTTATTCTCTTTGATCAATAAGTCTTGTGAGGTGTGTCTTTATCTATAGCATAAGGCTTTCAAAAGTAGAGACTAACATCTGTCAGTCTTATGTTTACCGCACTGCCAATTAGAAAATTGTTCAACTCAATGGAAAAACTGAGAATGTTAAAAAGATAATCCTTTCAACTTTTCTGTATGTTCGAAAGTTTTCATAATAAAATGTTGGAGGGAAAAGAAGATAAAACCATTTTTCACTTACTGACCCAGAACAACACTATAAACACCATGCCATAGACTAAATGTTCATGTCTCCCCAGAATTCCCATGCTGAAAGCTACTCCCCACTGTGATGGTGGTAGGACATGGGACCTTTGGGCAGCCATGCTATTGTTAAGGGTGGAGCTCTCATGAATAGGATTAGTGCCCTTACAAAAGACCCCAGAGACTCCCTTGTCCTTTCCACCGTATGTGGTTAGGGTGATGAGACGGCTCTCTATGAACCAGGAAGTGGGCCCTGAGCAGTCACCAAATCTGTAGTACCTTGATCTTGGAATTCTCAACCTCCAGAACTGGAAGGATGAATTTTCTGGTATTTACAAGCCACACTATGAACAGTATTTTGTCATGGCTAGTCAAATAAACTAAGAGAAACCACGACCTCAGGTTTTGTTCCCCACTGTATTCCTAGCACTTAAAATCATGCCTGGTACACAGTAGCTACTCATTAGAGAGTTACAAAATGAACAAAGGAAGAGATTAAAGTTAAAAGAGGTCAAGAAAACTCAGAAGAAAACAGAACATGCACAGTTAGATGAACTTCTGCTTCAGAGTAACTCATTTGCTCCAGAGGGGAAGATGAAACTCATCAAAAGAGCTGTGGCTGAAGCCCCTCACTCATCCCCTGCGCAAAGACTGCCGGGCCAAAGAGTGTGCTCCGTGCCCGGCTCACACACCCTGACCATTTTCAGGGGCCATCTCTGCTCCCACCAGGTGAAGCAAATGGTTACCAAGACTCAGTCAGTCTGTGTATTCCCAGGCCTATTTATACTACAAGTGTTTGTAATTCTATTCTTAATTAAATGTCATGTGAACCAATAAAATGAATTTTAAGAAGAAACAGATCCTGTTTCTATGAGAACAAAGTTGAATGCTTTAGAAAGATATAAAAATTGCTCTCAATTATAATTGAGTGTGTGAGATCACTACGAAGAACTGGAAGACAACACACCTGGAAGGATTCGGACTGCTTCACAAGGCTCTTTAAATTTTGCTGTCATTTGAAAAAATGGAGAAATTGGACATGGCAGACATCGTATTATGGGTTTATTTTTATGAAAGAATGAACACTGAAAACTCAGAGGACCAACCAAACACAAAGCAAAGGCCTTCACCTCACATCTAAAGTATGCTAATGAGAATACACATTAATAGGCTGTAAATTAAAAAGTGAAAGGTTTTTAATGTAATTTTTAACTGGCATTTTTAGTGACCAAACAGTCCTGACTGCCAGGAGCAAAGTGTCTGCTTCTGGACCCAAGGGAGAGTATTTGCAATTCAAATACAGTCGCCCAAAAGACCGCCTACCTTCGGAATGGTGGGAATCCACAGAGAAGTATGTATGTGATCACGCCAGCTGCCCAAATGTCCACCTTCAGGCCATAGCTAGGAAAACAAAGTGGGTGAGGGGGAGAGAAATGATGACTCCCAAGAACCTTCCATGGTACTGGAGTATTGCCTTTAATTGTTGGGAAAAGGATTACTTTGGTGTTATTCATTTCATTTCACATAGAGATGAATGAATCACCCTTTAGAAAAAGGCATCTGTTTCTGCCAACCTAACCACAGTCTTGCTGACTACTACCATATTCTCAAGAGAGGCCTTGGGACACAAGTCCAGGCCAGGGCTCTGACCAGGTAAGCATAAAGTCTGCTTCCTGAGGTCAAAATCATGGTGCAGGCAACAGACTCTCTCTTCTTTCCATTTTCCACCTTCACAGGAGGCACTGTATACACAAGCAGCAGCCGCAACAAAACACCTTTCTCACCAACTGTATACACAAGCAGCAGCCGCAACAAAACAGACCTTTCTCACCAACTGTATACAGAAGCAGCAATAGCAACAAAAACAGACCTTTCTCACCAAAGTTAAAGGACTAACCAGGGCCACCAGAAGTCTTACCCAGTTTCAGCAATGATTTCTGGAGCCACATAAGTGGGTGTGCCACAGACTGTGTATAAAGGGCCTTCTACCACAGTAGCAAGCCCAAAGTCTCCCAGTTTCAAAGACTTGGTTCCATCGGGATATTCACACACCTGAAACAGAAATCAACCAACCATCAGAAGGTTTCTTCTCCTCAACAAGTGCAAGAGGGCTCTTGGAATGAGGCAGAAAGGACACAAATACATTTACTGTTAAACTCCAATGAAATCTCTCCTTGTGATTCTTTTTTTGAAGACAGGGTCTCACTTTGTTGCCCAGGCTGGAGTGCAGTGGCATGACCACAGCTCACTGCAGCCACAACCTCTGGGCTCAAGTAATCCTTCCCCCACCGAACTCCCGCCAAGTAGCTGGAACTACAGGTACATGCCACCACACCAGGCTCATTTCTATTTTTTGTAGAGACAAAATTTTGTAGAGACAAGCTTATATTGCCTAAGCTGGTCTTGAACTCCTGGGGTCACGAGATCTGCCCACCTCAGCCTCCCAAAGTGCTGGGAATACAGACGTGAGCGACCATGTCCGACCCCTCCTTGTGATTCTAACACCATTGATTTATCTTTGTTGCTTTAAAGCGCTTTTTCTCTTCAGAGATTTTGTACGATTGTGTGAAATTTGGAAAAAATATTTTCCACTTTTGCAGAAAGTTCCTTACCTAGAAGTACAATGAACACACGTGCTTGCTTACACAGTAGTTAGGGTGTAGGCGGGTGTGTACCTGATGGGCATGAGAGAGGCCTCTAATCCTGGAGGTAGAAACTGACCTTTATTTAGCATTTACTGTGTGTGACATACTTGAGAGCCCAAGAAATGGTGTATTAAGAGTCCACCAAAGCACTTGGTGACCTCCACGGGACTAGCATGTTTAATTCAGAAAATAAAATTGGGGGCAGCGATGGGGTCCTTGTTGTCCAGACACTCAATGATGAAATATAAATATCAGATAGGGGAAAACCTTAGAAGTTTAGAAAGAAAATGACCTTTGGGATCAGGCAGCCTGAACTTCCATAACAAGTCCACACATCTGGTTGTGTGACTTCTGAAAGTCACATAAGCTCTCTGAGCACATTCCCTCATCTAGGAAGTGCGATAATGCCAGTACCTCCCTTGTGAAGTTGGTGTGAAGGTGAAATGAGACAAAGCTCAGAACAGGGCTCAATAAATGCTCCTTCCTTGTGGGTAATGATAAAGGCGAAAAAATAAAAGTAAAAAAATTAAAAATGTTCTTTCCATTTCCTGGAAGGACTGGCTGATTAGATAATTATCACATTGGAAAAGGTTTAAAAATGCTGGTGGAGATGTGACTGTTTATGCTTAAAGAACCTTTCTAGAAAGCATTTCAGCAATATATAGCAAATTTCTTTATATCAATTATAACCTTTGACCCAAAAGTCTACTTCTCAAAACCTACTCTAGGGGAATACAGATGGACCCAAGGATGCTAATCTCAGAATTTGTCTATGACTTTTAAAAACTAAAGGCAACATAAATGGGTAACAGGGCAATGACTAATTATGATACATTACCATAATAAAATATTACATACTTTCTAATAAGTATTTTTCAAATATATTAATCATATGGGAAACAGTCACTATTACACAGAGTTAAAAAAGGCACAATTATATATAAAATACTCAAAAATGTTAACAAGTTTATCTCTAAGCAGTAGCATGAAGGATTAAATTAATTTTCTTTATACTTTTCAGTGGTTTCTAAAATGTTTACAATGAACATGTGTTGGTTTCATAATAATTTCATATATAAGCAAAATTATGGGATAAATATAACTTTAGAAAGTTCCATTCTAAGTGGATAGTTTTGGAAGCAAACAAGTGCATATGACAGCATAATTCAGGTTTCACCATGCAATCCTGAACCTGAGTGTACAGTCTGTCTGTCTCTTGGATGTCCATTTTGAAAACATGGAATTTCAGAGAATAAACTGCTGCAGAGACCTAGTCTAGTCTATACTCATTGTAATGCCTGTTTCTATTTTTCTATTTTAAGCATATTTAGTTTGCTTTGTCTCACATTTTGCTGAACCAGATATTTATCTCAACTACTATTAGCTGTAGAAGGAGAAAAATTTAGAAAATGATGTTTTTTCAAGATAAGCATGTTAGCAACATCATCCATTAGTCTGCTACTTAATGAGGGGGAGTGATTTAAATAGTCATCAGTAAAAAGCATGGAGAACCACAAGGCTCCCCCAGGCCGTAATTCCCCAAGTTTTAAAGGCATTTTAAAAAGGACAGCGGTGAAATACCTCCCTTACCTGTGATGTCCTTATCCATTTAATAAGAATATGTTTCACCTTTACTATCTGAATAACGTTTTCCAGTCTTATATACTGAATACACATCCCTAACACATATCTTTGACTTTAAAGTTCACAGGAGTAATGATGAAGATTTTGAGTTCCTCATAGATATTTACAACTCTGAGTCAGCCCACAAGTCAGCAGAAACATTTCCAAAGATATGAATGATTCAGCCTAAAGTAATGGATTCCAGATTCTTAGTCACGTCACAGTCTTAGGAAAACTTTCCACCCATTATGTTTAATGTAAACATTAGCAAGAACAATCTGATATAATTATAGTTAGAATTTATAATGCTTTTACCAAAACCCAGACTTTGGAAAGAAATTTCCTAAGTAATTACAGTGATAAGAATGTTATAAGCACAATTTCCTAACTGTCTGTATCATGAGAGTTAAAACAAAAAGTTTTATAAATGTCACTGTTATTTTGTTTTTACAACTTAAAAACATACTCTTTAGGTACAATTTTTGAAAAATAGTGTTTATTTTAAAGACTCCATTTAGTGATGCCTAGGGATATTCAAAGGTTGCTGACAGATACTCAGAAGTCCCAGAAGTCCTGTTTTTCACATCCTCTATAAAGAATTCAGTCAGACGCAGGAGCATAAATAGAAAGGGACTGAACAGTCTATAACTGCTGAATTATGTCTGTGCAAGTGATATTCCTTGGCTAAACATCAAAAAGGAAGTGTCATTAGGGGCAGACAAGCCTGAAATCGTATTTTATCTGATTCATCTCTCTTCAATGCTAGACACAGAAGCAAATATGTCTTAATATGAATACATTTCAGATCTTAGTGGGAGATTGTCTTCAAAGCAGGAAGAAATTATACATATATATCTCTCTAGATAGATACAGAGACATATACAGCATTGCTTTAAAAACAATTGCTTTTAATAAAGAGGTGACTAGATGAACAGGGACTCCAAAGGCTCTCTGGCAGAGTTCAGGTCTCCCCAGAAACTGACATTCTCGAGGACTTTGGAGATTTCAAAATTCTTCCAAACATTATGTCACTGGTCTTCTTGAGCCACCCCACTGGGCAATGAGGAAGAGAACTGTTACCTCCATTTTACGAATGAGGAGACTGAGGCGCACAGCACTCAGGTTACTAGTCATATGGCCAGGCAGGGGCTCCAGCCAGGACCATTATTCGTTCCACAGCACCATTCTGCAAGATTCGGTATCTGAAAAATAACTGGATAGGCCTGCCAGAACCCTGACTATAGCCTGCACTTCCTTACAGATTTTGAGTGAATTTAAAGAATAACAACGGTGAGAACTCCAGCCCTGCAGTGTTCAAACACCCCACCACAAGCTGTGAGATGCTTCTGTCAAAAGTTGCTCTCAGAATGCAAAAATAAAAAATGCGAGGAATGCAGATCCCACATACAAAATGAACACTGCATGTTCTCTAAATAAAATGTCAACTTCATGATTTAGAAGGACTTCAAATATGAGAAACCAACCCTCTTCTCTTCTCTCCCCTATCCCCAGAACTCCTGGACAACCTGAATTTATCACTGGTCTCTCATAGTTAACTCTGACACGGCACCACCAGGCTGTAACTCACAGCATTAACGGCCACCCCTGTGCTCCCTGACACAGCTACCAATACATCTCCACTGGCAGGGTTTTAAATTATGATGCTGCTTACTGGAGAGGGGGATGCAAATCAGATGTCTGAATGCTCTGGTGTTTAAAAACTGAATTAGTTCTTAGAGCAAGAAGAGGCCGACAGTCACTCTGGGTATTTACTTTTAGTATCTCAGTGGCACCCTCTCCTCCCAGGCCAATACCAACCTGCTGACTAAATCTAGAAACTGCCGAGTGATCTAGTTAGGTTTTCGATGGCAAACACATTTTACTGAGATATATGAGGCTAAGGTTGTTTCTGAAGGCTCGACAGAGCCTTTCTACATCACACATTCGCCTCTTCCAGGTCAGTTTTATCCTCTTCTTCCTTCTCCTCCCTTTCTAGGCTAACACAAGGGGGCTGCTATAGGTTTGGGAAGGGGTGGACGCTCATCTAGGCCAGGTGAGACTCAATGAGGAGTGTGACTCTGATTTCCTGATTGCATTCCAAGACTCACGACGTTGGAGACATCAATCCCCATTACATGATTCACTCTTTTAAATTTTTTAAATTTTAGCCAATTCTCCTGAAGAAGTGAAAAACCTTATCCACCCTTGATGTGTGACAAGAAAAAAGGAGCCGGTGTCAGATTCTCTCTATATATTAAGAAACTCTGAGTGGAAAAGAGAAGAAACAGGAGGTGAGAGTGAGATCTGTGAGCTGGGAAATGGACACTCCCTGATTTACAGGGAAGTTCACAAGCACCTCAGTCACCTTTGCTGGGCCTTAAATCAGGGCTGCTGGACAGACTGGCTCCAGGGGTTCCTTGGGAACCTGTGGCTCCCATATTTTCAGAGAATGCAGTAACTGGAGCCAGTGGGGCAAGGCAGGTTGTAGAGAACAGGAAGCAGTCAAGGGGGTAACCTTATGAATGCCCCAGTGTTTGTGTCTGGGCACACCTGGAGAAGCCCCGTGCCTTTGTTTGCGAAGCCTGGGCCAAACTCAGTTCTACAGTGGAGGAGCCTGGCATACTGCAAGGTCCCAGCGGGCGAGAAGCCTGTTTTGAGGAGAGAACGCTATATCCTTACTTTGCTCCTGAGGCTCAGTTTACAGCTCTGTCTCCTCCATTCCTTGTTAGAGTTCATAAAACCAAGTCCATAATCCCCCCTGCCCCTTTTATTTTTTAACACAGAGCAGGGATATTTCTTTTCCTAATAAGAACATATAGAAATGAAATATAATTCCCTCAAGGCAGAAGACAGTAAGATAAAATTTCACATACTTTTAAACGGACACTCAGAAATCATCAAATGATATTACCAAAAAGAAAAGACACAGACTCTGGATTACATTAGCCAAAAAATAAAAAGTCCCCAAGATGGCTTCAGAAGCTGTGCATCAATGCATACTCCTTTCAACAGTTATTTGTGTGGTGCTCACAGGAGGCTGTAGAGCCTCATGCTCTAGCACCAGCTGCTAGCTGAGTGTCAGTGGTCAGCGAGCAAACACTCTGCTGTCCATTATGTGTTTACGTGGCACTGTCCAAGCCATTGGAGATATAAAGATTATTGAGACATAAACCTTGCCTCCATGGTACTTACAATCCCAAAGAGGCAGACAAGTATATGATAAAGATCACAACACCACAGCAAGTGCAGCAGAAACCCGAGGTGGCTGTGACTGAACTCTGTCTAGAAAGTCTAGGGTGACATTAAAGAAGACTTAACTTTTGCTCAATGTATTACAAGATGAATGGTTTACCACACTGCTGGAAGAGAGGACGTTGCAAATGAGGACTGGTATGGACAGAAGCAATGAAGGGGTAAGGCTGTTGGTAAGTCAAGTCTTAATTAAAAACTGAGGATGGAGGAACCTGTGTTTGGATTAACTCAGATAAGCTTGCCTCCCAAGCAGGAATGAGGATGAGAGCCCTGAAAGGCGGAAATAAAGAAGCCAACTATGTCATGTGTGTCTGTGGGGGGCTGGGAGGAGTGTAAATGTCAAATCACCCAACCAGTTTCTCTAAAATTCTTCTATAACATGGTCACGAGGATTGGCTCCCAACTAGCAAGCTGTGTCTAGTTATCAAGAGTCATCATGAAGGTGAGTTAAATATGGCTTGAAGCTTAGGCCATGTTGGGTTGGATGGATAAGAGTTATTAACAGGACAGGAGGCTGAAAAGGCAACTTGAGATCAGACTATGAAGAACTCTGGATACCATAGTAGAATAAGACTTTTTACTCTGTAGAATAATAGGATAAAAGAGACTTCTAAGAAAAAAAAAAAAATTGGCATCTCTTGGTCTCAGTTTCCATGGCTGTAAAGTGGAGATGAATGGACTAGACTATTTCCAAATTTCTTCCCTGCAAATAAATTAACCCCCATATTCTACTCGTGTCTCCTATGAGCCTCTAATTCTGTCTCAAATTTATTCTTCACAATTTTCTGCCCTATAAAATAGTTTTCCTGCTCACCTTCAAGTCAGTACCATCAATTAAAATATAAACGAAAATGTATTTTCTTCTATCTGGTGACATGCTTTGGCTCTGTGTCCCCATCCAAATCTCATGTTGAATTGTAATTCCCAATGTGGCGGGAGGCACCTCGTGGGAGGTGACTTGATTATGGAAGCGGATGTCCCCTATGCTGTTCTTGTGGTGGTGAGTTCTCATGATGTGATGGTTTAAAAATGTGTGGCACTTTCCTCCTCACTCTCTTTCTCTCCTGCCACCATGTGAAGAAGGTGCTTGCTTCCCCTTTACCTTCCGCCATGATTGTCTCCTGAGGCCCCCCAGTCATACTTCCTGTTAAGCCTGTGGAACTGTGAGTCAATCAAACCTCTTCTTCCTAAATTAATCAGTCTCAGGTAGTTCTTTATAGCAGAGTGAGAATGAAATGATACATCTGGTAAATAGTAAATGCAGAAAAATTCAATAACTCCATTAGTATTTGATGGTCATTGACACGAGTCTTGCTAATTTTCTAAATTTAAAGTCTCATAATGCAGGATTGTTATAGACTGTAAAATGCCATTATTTGCATACGCTCCTTTTAAAGGAAGAGAGGCATTCACTGGAACAGAAAAAGCAGGGATGACATACCAAGAGATTCTCTGGTTTGATGTCTCTGTGCACGATGCTGAGGCCATGGAGATACCTGAGGGCATTGGCTAAGTTGTACACCATGGCGCTGCCATCTCTCTCAGTGTACTTGGTCGACGAAGTAATTGCATCAAAGAGATCTCCACCCTAAAGGATACATAAAAGAACATATCAAAACATCAACAGTGCAATCCTATGAAGGTAAGAAAGATGGCTCATTGGCACAAAGCAGAAAATGACACAAGTGCCACTAAAACTGGTGATTATAAATAATGAAAGTTACGAGGCAGCAATACACTTTTCTGATTAGGTCCTTCAAGGATATTGTAAATTGTAGGACTAGGCACCAAGAAAATCTCTCTATCCTCTTACTTTGACCAATTCCATCACCAGAAAGAGCTCAGTTGCTGTTTCCATCTCCTCGATCAGCATAATGATATTGGGATGTTTCACTCGGCGCAGTATTGACACTTCATTCTCAATCAGGTGTTCCTGTCAAATGAACAGTATAGAGAGAAGATCAGAAATCACAGAACCCTCTGCTCTTTCTCTAAGGCCTAGAGGACAGCAAAACAAACACAGCCTGTGGATCTGATGCCAAAGAAAGCATTGCTCTTGGCACAAAGACAACTAAACCTGACCTTGACCTAATTGTTCCCATAGGGACAGGGTCAGTGTGAACGTATTATTGACATTACCAAAAAGATACAGACTTCTAAACATCCCCCAAAAGGCTCCATGGTGCTTCTATGGCATATTAAGCATACTGCTCTTAATGAAAAGCATCACAAAAAAGCTATGAAAGCTTCAGCATACAGCTCTGTGCTTTGTAATTCTGCCAGAACCGCTTTTTGATTCCAGTATACACTCACAAATAAAGACTAGGCATATAAGAAAACTTGGCATGCTTATAGCGTATAACTTCTGGCATTAAGCATTTTTAGTTTTTAAACTGTTACTAACATGAATTTGAATTTCATGCTGAAATTCATGAAAAAAAGGAACTTTCTTCCTCTATGACTGGATATGAAATCATTCACCAGATGGATGTTCCTTAACATCTTGTATTTCAGAAATCTGAAAACATACAGTACCACGGGGACCACTATTCTCATTTTAGCTCTAATCACTTCTCCTCTGAAAACACTGCCTGATTATCAATCCTGGTGAGTAATGCAGTTGGGATCAGCACTGTAGCAAAATGTTTACTTACAGAATTAACGAATTATTCTTAATATGTCAACCCATGAATCATGAACAATGATTGCTCTGTTTTAAATGAGACATTAAAACCTCTCAACATGTGTACACATGTATTTTTACACATGGATGCATGAAGTTAAGAGCCACCTCATCCTTTTGGACCATAGGTGGAAATAAAAATTATAACAAATGAATAAATAACATGTGGAGAAAAATCTGTTTCAGGCTCCTGCACATGGCAGGTTGTGTTTCTTGAGCACTGAATGCACTGTGCCTGTCCAAGCCGTCACTCAATAAATGTTGGCAAGTGACAGTGCAAATTTACTAAACAGAAGTATGGGAAAGAAAGAAACCAACATTTACTAGGAATCTAGTCACTGTTTGTTAGTAGCTGTGTAAGGTGCTTGTGTTATGTTTGAACACTTTATCCTTGGAAACAGTTACTGGAGGTTGAATGTAAACTAGGTTTCTGACATCCAAGCCCATCTTTCTTATACACACATTATCACCTTCAACAGGGGAAGAATTCAGTAAATGCCAAGATGGAATTATTCAAAATAAAAATTACAGCTGTAAGTGAAAATACTTAATACCTTGAAAAGATAAGAGCATACAGTAGCACCACACTGACTTGGGGGTGAAGAATCATACCAGGGTTTGTGCAAGGAGGAGAATCTACGCTTCTTTTAATGAACAGGGCTAAGAAGTCTTTGACTGGCTCAGGACTCAACAAACGCTTCCAAATCTGAAGAATGGTGTTTCTTAGACCCCAGTAAACCACAGCTGGGAAGCCAAGGACAGGGTCTCCTATCTATCTCCAACCCCACCTGTCTAAGTTACAGAGCAGCAGACGGAGACCCGGTTCCTCCCTTGGGAAGCAGCTGTACAGCCAGACCCCTCGTGGTCGCAAAGACAAAGAAAAGACTTGGCAAACCCTCTCCATTGATTCACATATTTGAAGCTTTTGGGTCATCTGCACCAAGCATATCCTCAATCACACTAAAAAGCAGGGTTAGATACACTTTTGTGAACATCTACAAGTAAGCACATGAATTTATTTCACTCCATGTGAAGCAAAGACAACAGTTGCTACTGTCATTAAATAGGCTTTTTATTTTAAAGCTACACAAATCTATCACTTCAATTCTCCTCCCTGCTCCTCATTTTATCCAAAGTTAGAAGAGTCTATATATTCGCCTCTCCTTGGAGGCTGTGTTTGTGTTGCTAATTTAGTGATATCTGTAAGATAATCCCCTCACCAGTACCCCAATAACCTCTCTCAAGACTACAACTCCTCAAAGTTATTATCTTTTTCAATAAAAGGCACAACAGAAGGTCTTCTGGGATACATTGTGGAACTTCTCCTAAGGGCCACCAGCAGTGTTACCTTTCCAATATCGCAGCAACATTTCCTCCACCATCACTCATTAGCCTCCTGAATTCTACTTGACAATGGCTAGTATTCTAAGCACAGAGTGAATGTTTTTGTTAAAACATGGGCGCTGTTAGCCTTCCTCAACCTCTTACTGTCCCTGTAAAATTGTCTATGAAGGAACAATCCACTTTTGAAACTAACCATCATCAGAAGCAAAATAAAAGTACTGCATAAAAATCCTTACAGACATTATCTATTCCTTGTGCAACCTATATGTAGTCTTTGTTTCTAATATGTAAAAAAATGCTCTAAATTTTCCAAGAGAATATTTCTAAATATAATACGAATATCACTTTTGTCTTGAGCCATATTGAACTTACATTATTCAATCATCTACCATTATTTATGTTAAGTGATTCATGATTCTAACTCCAAATAATTTACATATGAATCATCTCATGGCAGTGTTCCACAGTTCTGTATGAGAGTAAATGACGAAACTGCTAACTTGGCAAAGGACACTGCCTTATCTTTGGACATGGTGATTTTTAACATACAAAGAGAGAGGGATGGGGGGGGCGGTATACCAGGAGACAAAGCAACTCTCTCAAACCAGACTAATCATCTTGTCTCAACCCATTCCAGCCCATAAAGCAGTCCTTTCCTCTGTGTTCTCCACCTCATTGAACAAAACTGCTGTCCCAAGCAGAAACAGGAAATGCACCCTGATTCCTTCTTTCCTCCTCCTCCTTGTGGGTGGATAATATACCCACAGTCACTAATATCTGCCCAGTTACCTCCTTGGTGGCCTCTGAATCCATCCATTCATCCATTCAGTTCTCTCTGTTCCTCTTGCTAATCCCTTACCTCGACTTCTAGGCATTTACACAGGTAGCTTTCTTTTATTTGAGACAGAGTCTCATTCTGTCGCCCAAGCTGGAATGCAGTGGTGTGATCCCAGCTCACTGCAACCTCAACCTCCCAAGCTCAAGCAATCCTCCTGCCTCAGCCTTCTGAGTAGCTGGGACCACAGGTGTGTACCCAGTTAATTATTTTTTGTAGAAATGGGGTCTCGCTATGTTGCCAGGGCTGGTCTCGAACTCCTGGGCTCAAGGAATCCTCCCACGTCAGCCTCCCAAAGTGTTGGGATTATAGGCATGAGCCACCATTCCGGTCATAGTTTTATCTGGAACTTTCTTCATCTACTTCCTGGCAAACTCCTATGTACTTCTCAGGACCAGATCAGATGGCCTCTCCTCTAAGTCACCTCCCCTGCTCACTCACAGCTGGGTCAGGTAGTCCTGTTCTCACAGCCCCATATCACAGCTCTCATCCCACCATCTTTCAACTGTTTGTGTGCTGGTCTCTAACCCTCCGGAACTGAGAGCTTGTGGAGGTTTTGGTTACCTCACTCTTCAGCAACTAGCACAGTTACTAACAAACAGTAGGTACCAAAGTGTTCATGTGAAGGAGTAGATACATCACGCACTGCACTGCCCACATGGCTTCAAAGCTAGTGTCTGTGTTGCTCAGAGCACACTGCTGAGGAAAAAGTGGTGAGAGAGAGAAAATGTACAAATCACCACGTGAGATTTCTGTGGTAAACATACATAACAGACTGAATGATGGATACCCAAAGACATCAAGTCCTAATCGCTGCAACTTGGAAATATTACCTTACTTGGGAAAAGGGTTCTGCAGATGTGATGAAGGGTTCTGCGGTGGAGAGATAACCCTGGATTGTCAGAGGGAGAGGGGTAAATGCCACCACAGATGTTCTCAGAGCAGCACAGGGAAGTTTCACACAGACAGAGGAGAAGGCAGCGTGAAGATGGACGGAGACTGGTGGGATGTGACCACAACCCAAGAATACTGCTAGTCACGGGATGCTCAGAGGCAAGGAACAGATTCCCCCCAAAACCCCCAAATGAAGCAGGGATTTTTTACTTTCAGCCTCCTGAACTGTGAGAAAATATTTTTTGGTTGTTTTAAGCCACCAAGTTTGTGGTAATTTATTCCCACAGCCTGGGGAAACGAATACTTCCAAATATACTTCTGGATTTATGTCCTGCCTGGGCCCATGTAGATGATGGATGCAAAACTGTATACAGCAGGAAGACAAAGAAGGACCACTTCTAAGCACCAGAACAGAAAGCTCAGGGCTTTGTACACTGTGAGAATTCAATAAATATTTATTCAGCATGAAAGAGAATATTAGAACTGGAAGAATTCTTAAATTTATAAATACCCTAGCCTTCTCCAAAGCCTCTATAAATCTGGCCCCAACACAGCTCTTGTCATAATCTCCTACTGAGAAGGGCCCAACATGCTTTCTGTCCTCTGGGCCTTTGCTCAGACTGTTCTGATCACCCGGTAGGCCGCTCTTTGATTGCTGCCTACTGAAACCCTCCCTTCCCACTGTTCCTGCTCCAGCCCAAATGTTTCTTCCCCTGTAGCATCTTCACTGGTCACCTACTTCTCTCCCATGTGCTTCCCCTGAACTCCAACATTCTTTGCAGAACTGGTATTAATATATATATTACCCTATTCTTAGCACAGTGTCTTGCAGACAGAATATGCACCAAAATTTAGGTGACTACATTAATCTAACAATGCCAGTGCATATTAAGAATGAACAAACAGAAGGCAAGAGAAAGCAAGAATGTTTCCCAAGTTCATATTACCTGAAGAAATGAATACATTGAACTCAGAGAGAGAACACAGATCAGCCAATGTACAGGCTGTGTAACCAAACAGCCCAAAATTCCACTCACAGCTCTGTCTCTGTGTGGCCTTTTGAAAGCTATTTAATCTGAGTCTGTTTCCTTATCTGTAACACTGGTGCATCTGTTTTTCAAGTCATTAAAGGTAATGTGCAAAGTTCCTATATATCCAAGCGTGGATAAATAATACATTTTAACAAACAGCAGATATTATTTTCAGCATTATTAATTTTCCGTATACAGCAGGTGGCCAATACCCCAAAATAGTGAGTGAATACTACCCCCTCAAATTAACAAAAATTCTCTATATAATTTTTTTCTAAAAATAAAATATAATGGGAAAAATCAACTTATTTGTAACTAATCGAGTTTTAAAATTATAATTTTATACAGTCTTAATGTGGAAATAGTTGTTTAGATAAGCAAAATGTAAAACTGGAAAAAGTATTTGATCATGCATTATAAAAATAGAATGACATTCAGAGACTAGAAAAAATAAGATCCAAATGTTAGAACTCACTTATCCATTTGCCTCAGCACTTAGTGTACCAGACCAAATTTTCTGCATACAAA